TAATTCGGAGAGTCCTGATTTTAGTGGCGAGGGTACGCGACCCACGATACCTATTAATTGATATGTTCACCCTCAACGCAGTTACGTTCAGATAGTTTTAATATAATACGTATGTAGGTTGCGAACGAAAAACACATTTGCAAGAAAAAAGTGGATAGAATCTTTAAAGTGTTAAGAATATCATATATTCGAATCCGATTCCCTGGTTGGGTCAATATGCACTAAATAATATTTTTTTCTATATTGCCTCGGATCTGGGTCTTTTGTAGGAATCAATGCCCAAGTTGTAATGTCCACGAAATCAATCAGTCACGTGATATTTTGAACTCTGACGTCACATTTCAATAAACATAAGTACAGCTTGCGTTTTATAGACCTACCAAAAACATCGATAGCCAAGTTCAATCATGATATGATTGTCAACTCCACTGACAATTGTCATATAAATGGGGGCCAAGTAGTAGATACTCCCGAAAGAAAAATGGCCATCTGCCTAACATGCTTGGACTAATAAAATCGAATAAAACGTAACTTGATGAAACATATGTTATTTTGTTTGCCTATGCAGCTAGAACAAAGAAAGACATTAAATATATTTTTAAAAGCTGGGAGTATCGAGTAATTGTGTAATATGTTTTTGAGGTTATTTTGAGTTAGAGGTATAACATTGAAATATGTAAAGCACACGTCAGATAAAGCCTAATCGTAGTCCAATAAGTGCATACTTTCACATAATACTTCAAACTTGCTCCATATCTGATAAATTATTTTTATTGACTGTAAGAAATAAAATCATTTTTTTTGTGAATCAATGAACATCAAAAAAAAAATACTAGAATTTTTAAGATTGCTCTCAATAACTCTACTTTTCTTTTTTACACTATAACTTATATAAAGTAGTAGTGAAAATACTAATTTCAAAATAGCAAAACAACATGTTGATTTTTCTTTTCTTTATTACAACTTTAATGATGAATGATGATAAGGTACATCACGGAATGCTGCAGAAGCAGCTACATTCTTTTCGTGTCTGGCCCATCCAAGATACCAAACTATGGTCATTATATGAGCACAGCATCCCAGTGTAGATCGACCAATAAGACAATTACAGCAGTGTTCTCTTATGCCAATTTAACCCAGATGTGTCATTATTCTTTAAAATGTACACATAATATTGTTTCCTCCCAATGTCTCGACTTAATTCTACTCCTTATAATTAGGACTTTATTTATATTTAAATCTAATTCTAATAAATCCAGAAAATCCGGTATTTCTCTCCAGACCTCAATTCTGTACTGCCCATGGAACCTAGTATGCTCCCCATAATACAGAAGATAATACAAAATCACCGCCAAAGTTACAAAACGGTCTGCGTAGAAATACGTCTACACATATTTATCTAAAAAAGGGAGGTCGCAATCGATTGAATACTGTAATATCGATTCTTATGAATAATCATTTGTTTTTAATTTCATTATAAATAAACTATTTTCCTCTAAGTAACATGTAATTATATTAGTAATCTAATCTAAGTTTTATAATTTTCACGGATTTATATGGTTAGTAAATTATATAAGATTTGTAACAAATTCGATTAGTCAGAAATAAAATCGATCTTCTTCTTTGAAAAGAGAGGGGCTTCTCTAGGAATAACAATATTAATAAGATGCGTTCAAAAATAACATAATTTAAACTGCGTTCAAAAACATAAAGACATATTTAAGAGAGGATTATCTTTCTTTTCCCAGCTTTTAAAAATAAATTGTTGGTATATAATAATTACATTCAACTTATACTACATTTTGGTGATAGTTCCATCTTGGTACAAGAACTTTTTTATTCGTAGTCCATTTTGACCATTGTTCTTTATTTATTTATAAGATCGTTCAGCATTATTTAGTAAAATAAAAAAACTTATAATCTACATCCCCTCTAAGTTTAACTTAGCTAAAATACTGCACAGATATTGTTTAAGTTACTAGTTATAAGTTACCTTGTCTCAACATATTTCATAATTTATTGATATAACTGTCTATTAAAATCAATGTCATCAACTATACCCTACCTATCTACACTAATATTATAAGAGGAAAACTTTGTTTGTATTTAAATGACTAATTTGTTCATTTTTAAAACTTTGTAAATTTTTAACGAAACTAGTCGTTTTTCCGTGCCCTCGCCCAGGTCATTTCCCTTTCCGCCAGCGGCTTCGTCCGCGTGGTCCGCTGTTACCTTACTCATAGATCTAAACTCCCCTCCCGCACACGCGCCCACTTCGCAAAGGGCCGTGCAGCATTAATCGTAATTTAATTTCGCGTTAACTTCAAAACCAAACGTCCAATTTTAATCATTCAAAAACCAAATATTATCAACATAAACTGTACTTATGTGATGAAACTTTGATAAGGATTAATAGCATGAGTAAAATAAACGCGTTTAAATGTAGTGCAAAAAAAAATCAAGATTTTTAAATAAAAAAATGGTTGTTGTGCCTCAATCGACATAGATAGGTATAGTGTGTCGCGGACTTTTTTGTAGATATTTATTAGATCTACAATTAATTAGAACATTTTATGGTTTTATCTTTTATAGTTTAGACATCGTATGCAAAATAAGTAGCTTTCCTGGTTGATTTTTACACCATGTGTCCGAAAAAGCCAAATATCTTACGGAACCCTATTTTTTTTTTCAAAATAATTTATAGCCTATGTTACTCGTGCATAATGTGGCTTTCGAATGATGATTTTTTTTTAAAATCGTTTCAGTAGTTTTTGAGCCTATTCATTACAAACAAAGTTTTCCTCTTTATAATATTAGTGTAGATGTCACTCGCATATGATGTAGCTTCCTCTAGGTAAAAGATTTAATAAATTATTCTTGTAGTATTGGAACCTATTCAAGCAAAAAAACAAAATCTCAAATGTTATTTATACTATTAGATTAATAATCAGGCCTTCCTTACAGATGGTTAAGGTATAGGTATGGGCCATGACCCTCCACGCTGGCCCAATGCGGATTGGAGAGTATTAACGACTGCAAATGCAGCCAGGACCAACCCCTTAACGTACTTTCATAAGCGCAAAGTAGCTCGAAATAATATTTTTTTTTGTTTAACAACAACGATCGCGGGCCGCGGTGCTTACCCTCTACGCCACCGAGCTACACAGATTAATAATATGCATGATTAAATCTTACAGCGCCACACATTCATCTACTATTGTACTATCGCTAAACTACTAACCTCTTAGGTTCCGCGCCTTAACAATAGATGGCGTTTTATCTGCACAGAGTATTATTAGGGAAAAATTTATAACCCTCTAGCGGGCCGTAGTGAAACTAAATAATTCATTGTAAAACAACGTTACAGAATAGGTACTGCTATAATTTATGTGTATCTGTGGTACTACATAATTTAACAGCATAACATAAATATAAATTCGTAATATTTAATCGAACTGACACACAGAGACAGTTATAGAAGTGATTGATATTTAAACCTGAAACAATTCCTCTTTAATCAATTACTGCAGTCACTTGAATCTCTTTAAGCTAGCATAATAATATCTTAAACTTAAGTTGCAGATTAATAAAAAAAAAGTTTTTATAAGCTTTTATTCAACTTGAATTCGTTAGTTGGTGTTGTTTAAGCTTGCAAGCTGTATTGGTTCTAATTTGTATAAGAGTTCTACTAATAGCACAAAAAAATGATACGACTCAACTTCATACAGATACAGATGTCAAATGAATTGATATTCACACAGGGCTACATATCGCTGTAAAATTAAGTAAATATTCCAATACAATAATTTTATATAGAGTTTAATAAATAAATAAAAATCGCTCTCGATTATGTTTTGTGCTGAGGATACTATTATTTAATATATAATTTTCAGATATTAAATCAACACGGTCCATTAAGTTTTGTAGAGCTCTTTAGTGGCAGCAAAACAGAACTTAATCACCTGAAATAGACTTTTAGAACTAACACTAACTAACGACCGAACTAGAACTAACGAACTAAAAGAGCAGTTAGATCAATTTATAATCTTAGGATTAGGGACTTTTTAAAGGAGAAATTTCAGGAAATAAACATAACGACTGTTGCTCCTCAATACATATACGAGAACTTAATGTACGTTCGTAAAAATGTTAGTTCGTTTTCTATAAAAAGTGATGTACACAATTTTTATAAAAGAAATAAAAATAAATTAACGGTGCCTGTCACTAGACTGCAAAAAGTTAATAACTCATTCAGGGGTCTTTGTGTGCGCATCTACAATAAGGTCCCAAGAAAAATACAACAATTAGATACCATGCAGTTTAAATCTACTAAATAATACTTATTAAAAAAGCTTATTATAAGGTATCTGATTATATAACAGATAAGAATGCTTGGACTTAAGATCATCCAGGGATTTCTTCTAAACTCATTATATTTCAAAAATTATCTTGTTTACATTATTATCAAATTATTATGTTATCATTATAAGACCATAGATTTTTTTTTCTCTCTCTTTATATGTATTTATATCTGGCAATGACATGGTCTTGTGAATGTCGTTACTCCTATTAGAGCTGGTGAGTTTCTTGGTCGTTCTTCTTATCAGCCGAAAGACCTCCTGAACGATTGGTAGGGAAAAAAATGTTTAACGATTCAAAAGTACTTTTAAGAAGTCTAAGAAGAATGAATAAAGATTATTTTGACTTTGACAGTAATAATAATATAAATAGCTTAAAACTTCAAACACTGTTACTTCCTTATGCAGCTTGATAAAGCCAAGAAGCTGTATCTGTTAAGACCATATGCAGAAACAGCCGCTCATTAACTCAAATTGTCGCAAACCATTTCAAAGTTAATTATCAACGCAACTGTTAGTTTGAAATTTGGGTAGTCAGACATTCTGTTGACTACGTAATATGAACATTATAAATTAATTTGTCTGTCATTCTGTTGACTACGTAGTATGAACATTATGAGTTAATAATAAATGTGTACTTACAAATACAAGCATGATAAAGAATGCCGCAATGTACGAACTGCGCGCCGTCAACATGGAAACGAAACGATAGTGCTCCCCAGTGATGACATTCCTTTAAAAGAAAAAATAATAATATTTACTTTTTTTTTTCATTAGGTAAATTCATACACTTTACTCAGCATTTAGAAGCTTAAGCCCTTGTTTTCTGAAATTCTGAAGCAATGAAAAAGTAGACTATATATCAGTTTACTGAATTGACCCGAGCGAAAAATATCCTGAACATCAGAAAGATAATGTCTGGAAGAGTCATAGGAGTTAGATTAGTAATCTCAATTTTGGACTGGCAATCCAAAAAAATATAGTTCGTAACCCTGACTAGGGTTGCCAACTTTTATTGGAATTGGACTATGTAATTTTAAAGGAAGTATGTTGTAAATACAGAGTATGAACAAAAAAATATAATTTATATAACATTTTAGAAAGATATTTTTTGGTACTGAACTTCAGAATTATAGTTTTTTACAGGATTGCTACCATGTACCTTGTTTTATTTAGTTCCCGATATTTCAGCGCTGTTGGGAACGCCATGATCACGGGGTAACTAAAATTTTTGTGGGTACTTCTACGCTTGCGATAATAAATCGCAACATATATGCGTAACTGACACTAGTTTGAAAAACATTGTGTAAAATCGAGTACTTAGGCATCCTTCATTACTCTTGTAGATTATAAAGTATGGCTACATGACGGTACGGTTAGCAACCCCAGACCTTACAACTTTATTTATCACTATAAGTGTAGTAGTTCATAAAATAATAGGATAAATAATAACTAAAGGTGATCGCACACATATTAGAATGGAAAAAGCCGAAGGCGAAAAAAAGGAATTTTAGTATTCTTCACCGACAAACATCGCACACACGTACGCGTCGTATTTATTGTCTATGTTATTTATTTTATATTGTCTTTTTCTCAAGAGTTTTGAAATCATTAAAGTTGAACATCTAATCATAGAATATTAGTAAAAAGTATGGCATAAATCTAATGTTGGTAAATATTATTCCAAATCGCTCTTTAATTGTAATAGAACAGTAAGTATAAGCTTTGTACCCACTGGTGCAGTGGTTAGGAAAACGAATTTTTTTTTTATCTTCAGTTCCTTCCTACCTCAGATGGCATATTATTGACGGAGAGCTTGTGACAAAAATATGCAAGGGCTTTCGAAAACTTGATTTTTAGTATTTTGAAATACCCAGTGCGGTGGTCAGATACTAGGACACCTGGCAGCGGCGTGGCAATATATTAGTACAACAATTTTAAACACGTATTGAAGGTTTAACAGTTCAAAATAAAAGAAACACTTATTCTTAGTATAAAAAAAAGGAGACTTAACTGCTCAAATTGGACTATCATTAACGCGGCGGGCTAAGCAGTTCCGTAATAGTTGTAGTAATTTCATTAAAAAATACTCAGTTAATAGAACAAACTTATCCAATTTTTCGTGCCGGTGTTCCAGGTGTTCCAGCGCCTGACCTGACCACTGGGTACTAAGTAAGTAAAGTAAGTAAACTCTAGTACTCCAACATTCTGAAATATCAAGCTTTCGAAAGCTCTTAGACATTTTAGTAACAAACTCTTTACTTTAATATACACCGTTGGTGCCGACCGCGTCTGAAGTCTCTAACACCCACCAATCTGCACCGAGCCCGCGTGATCATCATAGGTCATGGTCCATTTTCCTTGTTTAATTTTATTCCATCCATACAAAAGACCTTCGGCCCAGCAGAAGGAACATTAATGGCTGTTGACAATTGTACCCACCGTAAATATCCTTTGTTGTCTTCATTTTCAGCAAGTGTCTTAATAGACGCCATGAGCAAGTCATCATATCCCAAAAAATTATCAAGCACAAATCTTGAAAATGTGTCACCAAAGCACTCATCTTTCTGAGGATCTAAAGTAACAATCTTGACGGGAATCTTGAGACGGAGTCGGGCACTGGGCGACAGCCGTAAGAAACCATATTCGAGGGAATACTCTAGAATGTAGTCTTCATCTGAAAGAATAGATATTCATTTCATATAAATAAATATTAGACATCATGTACGCTGCTCAGGGTCCTAGATGAGTAGCTTTTGCCACCGTATAATGGAGTATATGAGACAATGAAGATACTATAACACCGAGACCCGAGGAAAAATAGAAAAGTCCATTTTTACATTGACCCGACCGAAAATTGAACTCGCGAAAAAGGCGACACTTTGAAACCGACGTGCGAACCACTCGACTACGAAGATCGTCTTTATATTTATAATCATTTCTTGACACACTCTTATTGACTTTTTTACTAAATAATGGCAGTCGATTAATACAGCAACATTATAATTCACGCCTTAAGCCTGTGTGCAAACCTGACCTCCTACTCTCGAACGCAATCGCCACCAATCGTTATTGCAATAGTGCCGTTTCGTACTCTTGATTGGGTACACTAGCGCCAATGTAGTATGCTACGGCGCTAATGAACCCAACATACAGTATACACACATGTACCCAACATACAGTATACACACGTGTACCCAACATACAGTATACACAGTACACATACAGTATATACAGTATACATATAGTAAACTTAGTACTCAGGTAAGTATGTACTTAGTTTGTTAAAAAAAATGAGGAAGTATTTAAAAAAAAACGAAAGCACTAAAAAAGCATCTCCACTAGATGGCGACTCTAGCAAAAGTTGATTTTTGCAGGAAACGAATGACCTAAGACAGTAATTTCCATAACACACATATTAACAATTTGAAAATTTTTGAAATTTGAAATGTTCGAAACTTAGATATTAATACAAATACGAAAAAGTACTAATAGAATAAGAGTTGTTTATTGAGTTTTGAAAACTAGTTTACTTTGAAACGTGAAAGAAAACCGGAACATGGAGAAATCAATAACGTACCGTGGCGACATCTAGTTAGATTTCGGGAACTATTTATTTTTTAAATTCTTCCTCATTGTGACTAATTCTGCTCGGCTTTAGTTAGTTGGTTAACTTCACACATAACCTCCAATAGACACCGCATGATGACCATTTTGTTAAAAAAATAAAGATGTCAATCGCAGCGGTAGGGTAGGCAGTGGGCAAGGTAACTGCGGCGACGCTATTGGTTAGTACAAGGATACGTATTCTGTAGTGATGGGAACCCATATAATAACGTGTTAAAGGCATGTCGATAATTGATCAATATTAAATGTTACTATTAGATATCATTAAAAATATGATTTTAATTTATTTATTTTTATTTAATTCACAATTTACAGAACTCTAAACTAATTGATAGGCAGGGTATACAACGGCAAGATTTCAATGAGCGCGTACGCCTAAAGTCACTAACTTTAAGAATAACTTTCTTAAATCGATTTTGTACAAAGAAATACGTTCAAATAAATTAGAATTAAAAATGAGAGAACAACATCACATTTTAGATATTTGATCATAACCAAAAAATGAATTTTGATTAGAACAAAAACACCATTTTTGTATTTCTTGTTTTACCTGCTACACTTTCTAATTTTAAGCTATGATAAAATGCACTGAGACATAAAAAATATATCAAAATGAAAGTGTGGCACCTCTGTGCTCATATAAAAATATTAAGTAAAATCTTCAAAAAGGGGTTTATATTAGCAAAAGTTGCAATCGTTTAAATAACGAACAAGCATTAAAATAGGATGAAAATTTTATCAATGACAATATAAAATGTGTATGTTCTGAAATGTCTTTAAAGATATATTAACAAACATTGGTTATTAACCTCGGAGTACTTTTGTATACTAATTTGTGCACTGAGTACAATTTTTTCCTGTAATAGTAACAATGCCAATCAATGTTTACGGATGGAAATATAGATATCGACCATACCTAGAAAAAGCTGAATATACTAATTTAGTAATAAGAGAAAGGGCCGGGTTTCAAGAAGACATCAACGCGTGCTGCATTTTTATAAAGTTAAAAGAAGAGCAACTGGACTATTCTATGAAGACATGCGCGTTATACACAGAAATACCAGTAGATTTTCCATCTATTGGACAGGCCTATGCCCCAGCAGTGGAGACGTTGATAAGCTAATGATGATGATATAAAAGGGGATGCTCATTGGCAGATTTTTAACAGGATTAGTTTAAGACTCCAGTATAGCAGGCCTGTGTACACACAGTACCCTCGGACCACGTGAGCGAAGCCGCGGGATAAGCTAGTCTTTAATATAACCTTTTGGGGTGATGCAGTTACTGTAAAACTCTAGTCACTACTTCATATCCCTAAAATGATTAAGTAATATTTTAATCTTTTAGAGTTTGTGTAAAACTGTAGTCACTGAACCTAAAAGATCTATTATACAATACCAAAATACTAATATATTTTTAATAAACCGAATATTTATTTATTATTCATTTTTAAAACAACAAAGAGGCATACTGATGCGATATGGCATTCTCTACCAGTCCTTCAGTAAGGGTGTCTCATAAAATACAATGAGGTTACAAACATAATATCAAATACATAATTATACAAATTATTCAATATTTACCTTTTGAGGAATCATTAGCTGCTGCTTCTTCGATAGATTCCTGAAACATAAATGTAGTAATATTTTTTTTACTTTATTGCATTATATTATGACAATAATAAATTATTCAGTAACTTAACCAATAACCATGAATATCATGGTTAACTTGGTTATTAGAAAAGATTTATGCATTAACCAACTATGACTCAGCACTACATAAATATAAGATTGTAAATATCATTACTATCATCTTATTAGAATTACTAGAATCTAATGTATCCTTAACCTGTGATGGTATATAATTTAACGAGACGAATATAAAGAAGCAATGGTACCAATTCTATTGTACAGCTCTCTAAACTAAAAATGTAACTTTAATTTGGGTTTCATTTAACATTATCCTTGATCCATTATATGATAAAAGAAACAGACTGTGATGTAATAAGGTTATTTCGGCTATTAATTATTTTTACAGTTGAAAATGTAATAGGCTGGACTTAACCTAAATTCATCTAGTTAATAGGGAATATTCGACACTGGAAAGCAAACACGTAGTAACCTGCTAAACCAAAATGGATATTTAGAGTGTAAAATCTTTAAAAATTTTCCTAAAAAATATTTATTATTTCTGTATATATTGACTAAGGAACACTTAATTTGTTACCATGAACGTTTATAGAATTTATTTATTGAAAAATAGTTTCATTTTCTGCTCTGAAGAACAATTTTGGTTGTGCGGGTTACTACCTGTTTGCTTTCCAGCGTCGATATGGAAAACTCGTGTAGATGGCAGCACTAACATATATAATAAAAAGCAAACATTTTCAAACATTTTTTAACTCTAATGAATGTCATATTTGTATGGGTAATGTCACTTTAAACTAATGACAATTTTAATGGAGGTTTGCGCAACTGGCAGTTTGTCTTTTAGAAATATCCATATATGTAGAAATTATGTATTATTGGATAAAACAACACTCTTTCCTAAATTCCTACTATGCTTACAATTACTGTACTCTTTGATCACTACCCTGTATGATGTTTATAAAAACCATACACTACATGTGCTAGTGCTACAGTCTAGCAATATAAAGTAGCAGTAATGTATCCTATTGCTACTGTTTCATTGTTTACAATTTCATGTTGACCAAATAATTATACCAATTCTGTTGTACCACTCTCTAAATAAAATAAAAATTATTTCAATAAGGCATAATAAAAATATTATATATATGTACTCCTGCCTGTTATCATTTCAATTTTACACAGCACATTAATCCCGACTACCCTCAAGAGATCTAGAGCTAAGATATAGCATAAACTAAACTTAAAAGACTCTATGTAGTGTCAAAGTTGTATCAAACAGACAATCAGACATACAGGGAAAATTTGCTTTATAAATATTTAGGAATGACATTGTAATAAGATATAAGATTATTTTATTACTTACATCAACAAATTTAGAATCTTTATCAATATCTTCTACTAATCCCATTATTCCCTCCCATATAGAGGAAGCAGGCTCTATATCTTCCGTTGATACTATAGTTGCATTAAGGTCAGTTTCTCCATCATTTGGCACAAGCTCAGGCCCTGAATTTATATAAGATGTTTCCATAACTTGTCCAGATTCAACTTCATTTTGACCCTCATCATGGACATGTGTTATGTTTCCATAATCAGTACCATCTCGTATGTAATCATCCTCTTCTACATCATCACTAGATGATGATTCAATGTTGATGAAACTGGAAAATTAGAGCATCAAAATGTTTATAATAGTTGTGAGATACAATAAATACATTTATAATGACTTTCCATTTGATAAATTACTGAAGTCTTTAGAATTTTAAAAATAATTTTAGAGAAAAATAATACTCTTGATGCAGATTTTAGTTATTACAGACTTGAAATCAAGTAATGATTTAATCACAGATAATCGTTAATTGTGATAATATAATTTATTAAATCTCTTAGTAATGTAAAAATAAAGATATTTATATATAAAAATAATCATAGTGATCCCTTTGTCATCATTATAACTAATGTAATTTCAACACTTCTAAATCAAAATCTCTTTTTTATCAATTATAACTGTAACATAAATTATAAACTTTTTAAACATACCCTTCAGTAGCAAGCATTCCAAGCATTGAACTGAGTTCTTCTTTGTCTTTCTTCAACCTACGTTCTTTTGCATAGCTTTGCTCAATAGAATAATCTTGAGCAGGATTTCTCAATATCTCTACCCTTAAAATGCCATCTCTAGGCCATGAATCTTTGATATTATTTAAACATGTTGTTGGTGTTCTTGAGAATGCTATATGTATATATGCCAAGACAAAAAATGCTACCAATGCCTTCAGCAGTACAAGAAATTCAAAGAATCTCCTTACAGGTCTAGGGAAGGTACGTGCATAGGCCACCGCAAACTTGAAAAACAGAGCATGGAATAATCTCTCACGTACATTAAATAATGGATTCTGGTTATTATTCCGATTTCGGTTCATCGTTGGATTGATCATGGGTCCTCCAGGTAATAGGTTATTGTCTGGATTTACTCCAGCTGGTAAATTATTAACAACAGCTCCACCACCAGCACTCATTTTGATATCACTGTCTTTATTGCTTCTCTTCTTACATATAGTTAATAATGAAATATAAACATTTCGTTCTTACCATGTATCCTGAAGATATAAGTGAAGAGGGATGTAAAGTAAGAGCTGCAGTTTGTTTCTGATTGACTACACCTGGAAAATGCCCCGCTATGATTTAATCACTATAGATGCAAAAGGAGTGGTAAGAAGAATCAAGGGAATTGCCCAACCCTGGAGACCATCAATGCCTAGAGCGCCTAGTGAACAACTTTTTCTCTGCTACATTCATCAAACGTGGAAAAACGGAGAAAAAGAAGGAGTAAAAATAGTGAATAATGCTATTCATGCTGTACCGATGAATGAGCTTGAAGCAATGAAAAAAGGAATAAATGATCTTTATGCTCTAGTTGCCCAGGAACGTTTACGCAGTGATGTAAATTCAAGAGAACCTACCACCAAAAAAGGAGTATTTGTAAATTCGTTCTTCGACGATGATATGCGTGATCAAGGAATTTCGCAGTCTGCAGCAATAGTAAACAAGGAATTAATTTTACCAATAGATGTAACGATGGCTGATATTCATGGAGGAGAAAAAACTTATTTGTTGGCATATGAACTTGAACCGGTACTAGAGCAGACTAAAGACTAAAGGAGAAAGAATTAATCCGTATCAAGCCTTTGATAGAGTAACCGCAAAAATTACCATAAATAAAAATATTAACCACTGGACGGAGGTTACCACGGCTTGGAAAAGTCCAGTAACCCGCTCCACCTAAAATACTCGATATATTAGATAGATTTATTCCTTCTTTTCCTAGAATATTTTAATATCGTGTCTTTTTTCCGTTCTGATCAAACCAAAGATCATATAATTTTTTAAAAGCTTTTGCAGCATTAGCTCCTGCTGTACCTAAAACACTTGATACATTAGATAGATTTACTCTTTCTTTTTCTAGAGTTTTTAAATATTGAGTTTTATTTCCTTCTGCATCAAACCAAAGGTCATATAATTCTTTAAAAGCTTTTGTAGATTTAGCTCCTGCTCCACTTAAGATACTAGACATACGAACTAGATCTACTCCATTTTCTTCTAGTTTTATTAAGTATTGTGTCCTTTTTCCGTTCTGATCAAACCAAAGGTCATATAATTCTTTAAAAGCTTTTGCAGCATTAGCTCCTGCTTTACCTAAAATACTTGATACATTACATAGATTTACTCTTTCTTTTTCTAGAGTTTTTAAATATTGCGTTTTATTTCCTTCTGCATCAAACCAAAGGTCATATAATTCTTTAAAAGCTTTTGTAGCATTAGCTCCTACTCCACTTAAGATACTAGACATACGAACTAGATCTACTCCACTTTCTTCTAGTTTTATTAAGTATCGTGTTTTTTTCCTTCTGTATCAAACCAAAGATTGCATAATTCTTTAAAAGCTTTTGCAGCATTAGCTCCTGCCTTACTTAAAATACTGGAGACACTAGATAGATTTATTCGTTTTTCTTCTAGAGTTTTTAAGTATTGACTTAAGACTACCTTAAGACTACCGCGCAAGATCATTGACATCTTCTTATTTGCTTTTCCCTATTCCACTAATATTCTGTTGTTGAAGCGATATATCATCCAAGGGAGTAAAAGGAACTCTTCTAACTTTTTCATATAGTATACTAAATACCTCACGCCGACGATTATCTTTGATAAGATTGTTTAAATATTCTGTTTTATTTCCTGCCTTATCAAAACAAAGATCATGTAACTTCTCAAAAATGTGACAAACATTAATCCCTACTCCATATAATAGCTTATTTGATAATTTTTTCGGCGTAAAAAGTTTTTCCTCGGTGAGGAAGTGATTTAAATGATTTTCTTTAAAACATGATGTGTGAAAATTTCTTAAAATAGAAGAGGCATTATTTCCTGCCATGGATAATACATTTGATAGATAATCTGGCCTAAAACCTTCCTTATAAAAATCATCTAAAAGCTGTGTTATGTTTCCTGTGTCATCAAAACAAACATCATGAAATTTTTTTAAAGCAGAACAAATATTAGCTTTTGCTCCATGTAATATCCCAGATAAATTACTTGCTGTAAAACCCCCTTCTTTATTTAAAAAATGGTATAAATACTTTTTTGTCTCTCCTATGAAACAAAAATTATGAAATTTTTTTAAACTATCAACTGATCCACTCAGTATACTACATAAATCACATGGCCTAAAACCTCCCTTATATAAATCATCTAAAAGCTTTGTTTTTTCCCTTTTCTCATTAAAACAAACACTATGCAACTTTTTTAAATTAGAAGAAGTATGAACCCCTGATCCACATAACATACAAGATAAGTTGCTTGGCTTAAAACCTTCCCTATAGAAATCATCTAAAAGGTCTGTTCTTTCCCCTTTTTCATTAAAACACAGATCATGCAATTTTTTAAAAGCACCCTTAGCATTAACTCCTGCTCTACTTAACATACCAGATAAGTTATGTAATGTAAAACCTTCTTCCCCATCTTTGTTCTTAATAAAGTGCTCTAAATATTGAGTTTTATTTCCTTCTGCATCAAACCAAAGGTCATATAATTCTTTAAAAGCTTTTGCAGCATTAGCTCCCGCTCCACCTAAAATACTTGATATATTAGATAGATTTATTCCTGCTTTTCCTAGAGTTTTTAAATATCGTGTCTTTTTTCCGTTCTGATCAAACCAAAGATCATATAATTCTTTAAAAGCTTTTGCAGCATTAGCTCCTGCTTTACCTAAAATACTTGATACATTAGATAAATTTACTCTTTCTTTTTCTAGAGTTTTTAAATATTGAGTTTTATTTCCTTCTGCATCAAACCAAAGGTCATATAATTCTTTAAAAGCTTTTGTAGATTTAGCTCCTGCTCCACTTAAGATACTAGACATACGAACTAGATCTACTCCATTTTCTTCTAGTTTTATTAAGTATTGTGTCCTTTTTCCGTTCTGATCAAACCAAAGGTCATATAATTCTTTAAAAGCTTTTGCAGCATTAGCTCCTGCTTTACCTAAAATACTTGATACATTAGATAGATTTACTCTTTCTTTTTCTAGAGTTTTTAAATATTGCGTTTTATTTCCTTCTGCATCAAACCAAAGGTCATATAATTCTTTAAAAGCTTTTGTAGCATTAGCTCCTACTCCACTTAAGATACTAGACATACGAACTAGATCTACTCCACTTTCTTCTAGTTTTATTAAGTATCGTGTTTTTTTTCCTTCTGTATCAAACCAAAGATCGTATAATTCTTTAAAAGCTCTAGGAGCATTAGCTCCTGCTCCATGCAAAATACTAGACATACGAACTAGATCTACTCCATTTTCTTCTAGTTTTATTAAGTATCGTGTTTTTTTTCCTTCTGTATCAAACCAAAGATCGTATAATTCTTTAAAAGCTTTTGCAGCATTAGCTCCTGCCTTACTTAAAATACTGGAGACACTAGATAGATTTATTCGTTTTTCTTCTAGAGTTTTTAAGTATTGAGTTTTATTTCCTTCTACATCAAACCAAAGGTCATATAATTCTTTAAAAGCTTTTGCAGCATTAGCTCGTGCTCTATGTAAAATACTGGACATATTAGCTGGGTTTATTCCATTTCTTTTAAGAATTTCTAGTCTTTTTTCTCTAATTAAACAATCTAAGAACTGATCAAATTCAGGTATTCCATCTCTACCAATCACACTTTTAGCAAATTTAGTTTCCTCATTGTGCAGCAATATTGGGGAAGAGAAAGTTCGCATAATTTATGACCTCTGCTATTTAACCTTAACTGTCACAACCAAAAGACATTAACCAAAGTTAATATTAGCCTCTTAATTAATCATACACAAAATGTCTACAAAAAATCTAGAAAGAGGACATGTTTAATCAACACTTATTTAATCCTTCAAAGAAAACCACTTTCCTATTTTAAAATTATTACAGTAGATTCACTTTGTTACTATTAATTATAAAAACGCTACAGTTATAATTTCTATAGTAAGGTAATATAATGCATGTTGTTTTTAACATCAAAAGTAGAATAGCAATTAAGAGTGTGGCAAATTAGTAATTTTCTCTGCATTGTTTTCTCGGGCCAAAGAGTAAAAGTGTCTCGCAACCTTATCGACATGAAAGTAAAATCTCACATACCCAAATGTCAGAACACTAATCACTAGTTTAGTATATGAGTCAGAGAAAGATATAATACTATTTTTTAAATATCTAAGTATTAAACAGTTAAAATTGAGAATATAGATCACTTTTATCGCAATTAAAACAAAAATCGAGATAAATAAAACTAGAATCTGTCAATCCCAAACGTCACACAAACACAGCACACAAATCTGTCAATCTGTCAAATAATCCAAAATCTTTTTAAAATTAAAAAAACAAAGGTATCTAGCCTGTGCAGCCTATTATTCGGTAATATATTCTTCTGTTGGTTAGTAGAGCGATCGACGTGCTTTTCCCGATAATCTTGCATAATTCATACTACGGTCACTGTACTTATATTTAACGCAAATTCGTAATATAAAAAAAATTGAATTGGAAATCCCATATAGAAACCATTAAAATAAAACTATCTAAATTCACATATGCACTTTATCAACTAAAGCAATGTACAAACATAGAAACAGCGATATCAGCATATAATGCCTATGCACACGCGTGGTTGAAATATGGAATAATGTTGTGGGGAAACAGCACAAATGCGGATGAACTCTTCATAATGCAAAAAAAGTGTATACGTATTATAGCTCACATAGACAAAACTCACAGTTGTAAACCGTATTTTAAAAAATATAATGTGCTCACGCTGCCGTCAATATACATTCAGGACATATCAGTTTTTGTACATAAAAACATAGACACATTCACAAGAGTTGAAGACACACACAGTAGAAACACACGTCATAAAAAAGATTATATCTTCCACCATCAAGATTAACAATACTTAAAGATAGCCCGCATTATATGTGTATAAAAGTATATAACAAATTACCAGGTTACATAAAATTGAAGAAAAATGTAAATGATTTTAAGAAAAATTTGACATGCTATTTGTTGGAAAAATGTTATTATAAAATTGATGAATATTTCGCAGTTTAATAAATATACTAACTGATAAATTCTCAGATGTTGCCATGTCCTAGCAGGACGTCACATGTATCCTACCATAAATTATGTACCACCTCTTTGTTTGTAAGAATGTGACATGCAATAAAATAATTTGAATTTGAATTTAAATCACACGCAGAAAATAGATTCCACTTTACCTTCTTATATTTATAATAGCAATACCCTTTTTTCGTTTCGAAATAATGAGGAAGTATTAAAAAATACGAAAGCACTAAAAAATCACCTCCATTAGATGGCGACACTAGCAGAAGTTGATTTTTGCAGGAAACGAATGGAACAAAGACAGTCATTTCCATTCTTTTTAACTAACATATTAAAAAACTGAAATTTAAAAAGATCGAAGCTTAGATATCTATCAGTATTTAAAAAAAAACATTAGTTCCCGAAATCAAACTAGATGTCACTACAGTACTTTCTGATTTCTCCATGGCAACCGTTCCGGTTTTCTTTCATGTATAAAAGTAAATTAGTTTTCAAAACTCAATAAACAACCATAATGTATTTTTACTTTTTCGTATTTATATTGATATATAAGTTTCCAACTTTGCGAATTTCAGTTTTTTAATATGTAAGTTAAAAGGAATGGAAATGACTATCATTTGCTGCAAAAATCAATTTTTGCTAGAGTCGCCATCTAGTGGCGGTGCTTTTTTAGCGCTTTCTTTTTTTTCTTAAATACTTCCTTCGTTAATTTCATCAATCACTAATAGTATTTTTAAAGCATAAATTTATTCTCAGTCTGAGTGCGACCGACTAACTTTCTAGCTATAGGATAATACGACATTTTTGTCAATATCAGCGTAGTTATTTTTATATTTCGTTTTATTTTACTACTTTGACATATATTTGGGGGTTGCGTACTGCGTTCAATTTACTAGAATATTCAATGTCAACTTCAACTTGGATGGTTTGGATGTAGAAAGTTAAACGCTTCTTAAGTATTCAACAAATTTTATAATTATTAAGACCACTGAAAATTATCTTCTTGCGTTGCTACTCACTCTATGGGAATATATAATAATCAATTTCCACCAGTGACATAAATAATATGAAAACTATAAATATTACAATTTCTAGGAACATAAATTTCGCTACATGTACAGTCATCAGATTAAAAACAAACAGATCTGTCAAATTTCTTCATTTGATTTTAAAAATCTTACCTTTGACAGTTTAATTATTGATTTATTAGATGAGCTGGACTTATGTGTTTTGAACAATGGTAGACCTACAAGGATGAGCACCCCACCAAGTATTAACAGATGGGAAATTGGGATGGAGAAACTCCCCATCACAGAACCAGAGTGCAGTTGACTTATCCATTTGCTCTTCGCGTCTATCTTCTCTTTTTTTATGGGATGTTTTAAGTAGTACCTTTGGAAGTGATCATTTTCCCATTCTTTTAACATTACCTGACCGTACGCTCACGACATTCAGTAGTACTCCCCTTTTGAAATTTGATTTAAATAAAGCTGATTGGACATGTTTTTCTTTAGAAGTTAAAAATAAATTAAATTCATTACCTGAGATCTCTAATGCAAGTTGTTTCACTGCATATGAAGCCTTCACGGAAACTCTTCTCAGTTCTGCCAATTCTCATATTCCCACGAAATCAACTATACGTAAAAGAAATTCTCCACCATGGTGGGATTCCGAATGCACAGACATTATCTGTAAGAGAAAGGAAGCATAGAAGAAATACAATCTGTCTATGTCTAAAGAAAACTTCTCTCTGTACCAACAAATAGCTGTTCACTTCAAAAAAAATTATCTCAAAAAAAGAAACTTGGTTGGACTAGGTTTTGCGAAAGAATGTCTCCTCGCACTTCCGCGGGCATGCTTTGGAGACAAATGAATCGATTTCGTGGTTCTATGAGGTCAAAATCTGTATCAGCTAACGATCCATCAGGATGGGTTACCTCATTTGCTGATAAACTCGCTCCCTCGTTTGTTCCGAACTGTGACTATCTTCCTATAAAAACATACGACATTATCCCATCTGTTGGTAATTTAGATAATCCTTTCACCTTGCGGGAACTTGACTTGGCACTTGGAGGTCTTAGAGATACTGCCCCCGGTATAGATGGTATTCCATATTCGTTTCTTGTTAAATCGAGGGAAGAAACCAAACTATATTATTTGAAATTAGTTAATACTTTTTACCATTTAGGTATCGTCCCTGAATCCTGGAATAAGCAACTAGTTATCCCTCTGCTTAAATCTGGCAAAGTCCCTTTGGAGTATAATTTTTATAGGCCCATTGCGTTATCGTCCACCCTTTTCAAAGTGTCAGAAAATATGATCAGGAATCGTCTAGAGTGGTTTTATGAGAGTCAAGGTCTTTTGGCAGTCAAGGTCTTTTGAGTAGCTCGGTGGCGTAGAGGATAAGCGCCGCGGCCCACGATCGTTGTTGTTAAGCAACTTTCGCAAGGGTCGGTCACGGGATGGGTGACCAAAAAATTATTATCTCGAGCTACTTCGTGCTTCGGAAGGCACGTTAAGCCGTTGGTCCCGGCTGCATTTGCAGTCGTTAATACCCTCTAATCCGCATTGGGCCAGCGTGGAGGGTCATGGCCCATTCTCCTTAACCATCCATATGGAAGGCCTGAGCCCCTGCAGTGGGGACGTAAAAGGGCTGATGATGATGAAGGTCTTTTGGCTAAATCTCAGTTTGGTTATCGAAAGGGTTTCAGCACTCTGGATAATTTAAGTATACTTACGACTGATATTCGTATAGCTTTTATGAAAAAGCAATATGTAGTTGCTGCGTTTTTAGATATAGCAGGCGCCTATGATAATGTCCTTCTTCCAATTCTCAGACGTAAATTGATTCAGTTGAGTGTTCCTGAGAAGTTGGTTCGATTCATAGTTAATTCTATTTCAGCTAGGTCTATTGAAATCAAATGTCATGGAGCGCCTTCTATAGTCAGGTCTGTTTGGTATGGTCTACCTCAAGGGTCGGTTTTGAGTCCCCTACTATATAGTATTTATACTTATGACCTAGAGAGTGTTGTAGATTCATTCTGCCAAGTCTTACAGTATGCAGATGACGTAGCCCTCTATATAAGATCGAATTCAATCGAGGAAGCTTGCTTTCGTCTCAATACTGCGTTAAGTTATCTTGGTGATTGGCTAATGGATCACGGCTTGTCACTATCAGTTTCTAAATGCTGCCGTGTAGTGTTTACCAGAAAGCGTAACATTCCTACAGCTCAAATAGTTTTTCAAGATGTCCCTATTCCTTAAGAGTAAGAATAAACAAGTAAAATATTTAGGCGTTATTCTAGATTCTAAATTATCAGGAACTCCTCATTTCCATAGTGTTGTAAATAAATGCGAAAAAGGGGTCAATGTTCTCCGTGCTCTTTCGGGTGTATGGTGGGGTGCTCATCCATTCACTCAAAAATTAATATATAATGCCCTAGTCCGCTGTCATTTCGATTATGGTTCCTTTCTTTTAGACCCATGTAATTAGTTGCCACTTGATTAAATTTCTAAAGTTCAATCAAAATGCTTGCGGATTATTATAGGTGCCATGAAATCGTCTCCTATCAATAGTCTCCAGATCGAATGCCCTTTGTGTCTGCGTAGGCAATTTTTGAGTGATCGATTTTCCTTAAAGTTATACAACGAGCATCCCATCCTTTACTAAAAAAATTAGAAATATTGTTGAAAGTTTCTAGTACTTCCTCCAGTTCATCGGTAGGTTTCTCTTGTATCCTCCATAGCTACAAAAAATTCCATACTCCTTCCCTTCCCATAGAACGGTATTCTCGTCTTCCTCTTTTTGAAAATAGCTTTGAATCACTTATTTTTGAGCCGGTCATTCTTCTTGATTTTGGAATCAACAAAGACTCTCCATATGCCATGCGTACAATGGCACGGAAATTAGCATCGGAATATAAAGGCTGGATTTCTATGTACACTGATGCATCCAAGCAGCATGTTAATGATCCAGTTGGATCAGCAGTATGGATTCCTGCTCACAGATTAGTATTAAGTTTCAAAATTCCCTCTCTCTCTTCTGTATTTACAGGAGAAGCTTTAGCTCTCCTTGAGGCCATCCTATTTGCCGAATCTCATAACTTTAACAAAACTATCATTTTCACAGATTCACAGAGTTGCTTACAGTCTATAATATCACATCCGTTTCGTTCTAAAAATAGATTTCCAATAATATTTAAAATAAGACAAGCATTGTATAGGTGCCATCTTAAGAAG